GGGGGAGGAGAGAAAGAGGGAAAGAGGATCTTAAACAGGCTCCACACTCAGCATGGAACCCAAAGTGGGGCTCGATCCCAGGACCTTGGGATCATGACCTGAGCCTAAACCAAGAGTCGGATACTTAACCAACTGAGCCACCCAGGCGCCCCTAGAATTTTTGTTTTAATAACCTCACTATGCCATTTCTGTACAGATAAATAAACATCATGAATTGCATAACTAATGCTACTTCCTCCAAAGATCTCAAAGACCATAGAAAACTTTCATTAAACTTATTGCAAGACTATACTGAAATTATTTTTTCACTTTAATACACGTAAAATATATCCAGCCTCTTGTCTTCCCCTGTTCTCCCCAGTTATTTCTTTTTTGAACATGACATTTGGCTTTCACAGTCTGATGATAGACCACTTAAATAGATAAATATGTCCAACTAGCCCACTGTACTATGAGACAGACCTACTGATTAAAGATAATTCAATTTGATCAACTGTAATTGGACTATTGTAATGACCATGAGATGACATGATATTCTGGCCAAACAAGAATTAGTTGTGCACAAGTACACATCCTACTTATCATTGTGATTTTACATGGGCAGATGGTGCACAACACAATGCCTAGATGAGATATATCTTATTGACCTCTCTTTGACCTGACATTGACTCCAGAGAACAACCACTAGCTTTGAAGCAGGGGCTTAAAACGAATATCTGGCTTGATTTGTTTAATAAAAAAATAATTGGCAAAGATGAATTGCTAAATAAATTGTGCCGTACTAAAGCACTATGCAGACTTTGTTTCCAGAAAAAATTTCCTTCAGGCATTCTATGCATATGGGAAATGAAAATATTAATTATGAAAGAAGAGCTGAGGGTTTGCTAAAGGAAGACTGGGTACCATAAGCCCTGTAGCAGCTATAAGTAATGTGTTAAATAAACACAAAATAGTATAAGGTATTAGATACAATTTTTCTTGATTTGAAAACTGTGCACAGTCCATTCCTGTGGCTGCAGACTGAAGATGTTATAAATGCTAGCTAATATTCTTCTACATCTAATAACTTTCACCTACAATCTCTAGACCCAACCATGTTCATCTTTCAAAGCAAAAGAGAAGCCAGAATATTTAAAGTATTTTAGGCTCTAAAATTATTTCCAAAATACTTAAGTCAATTTAATTATAATTCTTACAAGGCAGAAACAAACAAGAATTAACAGTGTGGAAAGGCACACACCAAATTGCTATAGAGATTTAACATGGACTGAGGATTTAGTAAGCAGAATAAAGTTTCAATATGTCCCAAATTTTCACTAATATACTTGGATTTGTATGGGTGTTGATGAAGAGGGGATCAGTCTTAATTGACAATAAGGCTAAATTAGAAAACTGTTTTTAGGAAATGCAGACTTATTATATTCTAACACATGCAGAACACTATTAGAGAAATAAGAACACAAGTTATGTGACATTTCTTAGAGAATCTGAAAGGAATACTAAAAAAAACTAATGATCATTTATAATTTACGTATTTTAGCAATTGAATCTAACTGACAGACTATATGAATTTGTTCTCACCCTTCAAGATTAAACTGGTGTCACTTCTCTGAAGCTTTCCAAATCCCTCTGGCCTATTCAGTTGTGCTCTACTCTGTTCATACATGTGTCTGTGCAAATATCTTTCACATTTGTCTATTTCTCTCAATCACCATGATGACCACCCCCATCCAAGCTAGCATCAGTTTTCTGTACACCTGGTGAAACAGCTTCCTAACTGGGCTCTGGCATCCACCCTTACTCCTATACATTCTCACACAGTGGCAAGAGAGACTTCTAAATTGTGAAAATGATCAAGTCCTACCCTACTTGACAGCTGTCAATAAAGTCCCATTCTCTCGGATCTTTATCCCCACAGAGAGCACAATCTTTAAAGTGGCTTATAAGGTCCTTAATCATGCCCTGTGTGACCTGGCCTCTGCTGCTTTCACCTGTCTAACCTGTGCTTCACCCCTTCTTCTGCCATTCAACAACACGGGCCTTGAATACCTACCCTTGGTCCCACCTGTGGCCACTGCACATGCTCCCTTCCCCTTGCCACAGTTTTATGGTAATTCATTCCTGCTTACCTTTCCAAGGTGCATGAAGAGACAACCTCCCAAAAGCTACCCAAGTAAACAAATAGCACAGTCTAAAAGTGG